GACAGTGATACAAAGTGACTTTAGTTCTAACTCGAATATAGCGTTTTTACATATTTACTCAACGTGTTGTTGGGGTGAGAAAATGTAATGTGATGAATAGATTTTCCCGGAAATCACCTTTAAATACGACTCAATCGATAAACCATTAACAAACGCAGTGTATATTTACCAAATGAGTAAGTAAATCAATTCCTTTGAAGGAAATTTACCAACGAAATAAAATTAATTTAAAATCACTGTATATCGCGTCTTTAAATTGTTTTTTTTTCTGAACCACTCTAAATTGACCACAGAAACCGGCGGTAGTTGCGGAAATAAGCTATACGCAAATGACATATTGTAACCATGAAAGCACTTACAAACTAGGTTATGTCATATTTCGATGTCACAGTACTGATTCGAGCACTTCGTTGAATGATTGAAAGATGATTGTTTAAACCAAATCGTGACTCAAAATATCGACCTAACCACACCACTGGTTTTAGAATAAAATATCCCGAGCTCGAATAGCTTACGTCGGTACCAGTGTAAGGGATGTAATAATTCAATAAATGAAGAACTTAAAAAAACATTGTAATTATAGAGAACATATTATGTACAACAGAAGTCATAAGATGACATATTAATAACTTGGCGATAGCGAGTTTTCTTTTTCATAATACTCTGAAAAGCAAAAAAAATATTAATTATACGGACGGTGTACTGTCATTCGTGAAATACATGTCAAATTACTTGTTGAAAATTAACATACCGAGGAATTCATTCACGTAATCTGTGTCTTTTCCCCCTTTCAAACCATCACTGATATCTGGATGGACAACCAGAGGATGTAATGCATTCATGAAGAACGTTGCATACGGTTGTCCCGCCACTTTTAGGACCTGGGGTATGACAGAAATGAAGAAAAATGGGACTCGAAAATGCAGAATTAGTGAATATTCATCATATCAACAGCATGTAAAAGATAATAAACCTATGAAACTAATGTAGCTTAAAGTCTGATCAGCTTAGAAATTAAGTTGATGGTATAAAAGGACTGATATCCCTATAGTCAAGATCCTCAGTAAACAAAAATCCTTAAACTCAGATAAACTATTTCAAGACAATGTCAATACTACATTTTACGTGAAAACTTTATTATTATTTATCATTATTAATGGCTTTACTCAGTATTATATATTTAGTAAAATATGGGATTAAATAAGAAAGAAAGATTAGTTCAGCGAAGAGTTCTCTTTTCGGCGAATTCATTTTCAAAGCTGTACAATCGCAAATATATATACTTATTTTTTACAGGGTGATAATAATACTGATAATAAACTTCTGTTATACATGGTGACAGTGAGGTTAAATAAACAACGGTATTAGAAAAAAAATTTTTTTTAGAAAACAAGGAAAGTTTGATAGTTAATGGCTTAAGTATTCATCGGGTAAGGATGGCTCAGCATGATAAAATAACAGAGATGAAATGTAATCGGAATGATCGTGGAAATAAAAACAAACCGGTTGGGGGTAGGAGATTTGAAGGGAAGATGGAAGGTGAAGCAGGTGGCTGTAAAGGAACAAGAGTATGAAGAAAGAGAAAAAAATTTTTTTTAACACATTAAGACCATGGTAAAAGAAGAGGTTGTACCAGTCTCTTTTGTACACATAATTCTGTTTTTTTTAAATGTATGGCTATTACCTCGGCAATGCAAAGAAGATGCAGTCTAATTGTCTTAGGAAGGCTTCTACTTACCTTGTAGATGACTTTGAACGCAGAGTCTGTCCTGATTGAGTGACCTGTGTTCACAAGGTGTTCGATTATAGAACTTCTTATTGAGCCGTTGCCTCCTCTTCCAAAAGAATTCAAGAACATTGTCCGGCGTGGCTAAGAAGAGGAGGCAACGGCTCAATAAGAAGTTCTATAATCGAACACCTTGTGAACACAGGTCACTCAATCAAGACAGACTCTGCGTTCAAAGTCATCTACAAGGTAAGTAGAAGCCTTCCTAAGACAATTAGACTGCATCTTCTTTGCATTGCCGAGGTAATAGCCATACATTTAAAAAAAACAGAATTATGTGTACAAAAGAGACTGGTACAACCTCTTCTTTTACCATGGTCTTAATGTGTTAAAAAAAATTTTTTTCTCTTTCTTCATACTCTTGTTCCTTTACAGCCACCTGCTTCACCTTCCATCTTCCCTTCAAATCTCCTACCCCCAACCGGTTTGTTTTTATTTCCACGATCATTCCGATTACATTTCATCTCTGTTATTTTATCATGCTGAGCCATCCTTACCCGATGAATACTTAAGCCATTAACTATCAAACTTTCCTTGTTTTCTAAAAAAAATTTTTTTTCTAATACCGTTGTTTATTTAACCTCACTGTCACCATGTATAACAGAAGTTTATTATCAGTATTATTATCACCCTGTAAAAAATAAGTATATATATTTGCGATTGTACAGCTTTGAAAATGAATTCGCCGAAAAGAGAACTCTTCGCTGAACTAATCTTTCTTTCTTATTTAATGTCATAATGGGTGTATTCCGTTTATTAAAATATGGGATTGTCAACACACAATATTTCCATAAGTTACTCTCATAAAAAAAATCGATAACTGCATATATGTATACATGAAATAATTAAATAAACTACCTGGAATTAGACGAAGTGCTTTTAAGAAGATACGAATCTAGGCAACTTTTGGTAACATGTTCGACAATATAAGCTTTGACTAATTTAGCTCTTACAACTTGCTCGTCACATGGTTTATTTGCTGGACAATGTACATTTGGTTACATGAATGGATTCTAATGTACTGCGGTCTTGTTCTACCAGAAGATAAACAAGGTGAAAGATGTGAGTCGAGCGGATGGTCAGTGTCTGGCGAGATAACACTTGCCAGAAGTTTGCAAAGTTTTATATATCTATCCACAACCATAATAATAATGACTTCAAAAGATTCGCCACACACCCTGCTAACTGTCCTCAGCACTCTCCGCAATACAGCAAAATCTTTTCTCAAAAGCCCGGGAAAGAATAATGAGGAACAGTAAAGAATAATACAAAAATTCACAAAAAGTAGGAGTATTTGTCGAATAATCTCAAAAGTATGTAGCCTATTTATATAATAAGTCAGACATAACTGGCTTCGATATCAATAAGGTATGGTAAGACCAAGAAAGGTAAGAGGAAAAACTTATACAAAGGTAATCAACCTTTAACATTCTTTTTATCACAGAATCTCCAATAGTACAAACTTCATTTGATTCCCAAAAAGTGTTCAAGTGCTGCTCATGCCCCAGGTCAAAATAAACAGTTTGACATCTAGAAGGGCTAAGTGTGAGACTTTTGTGACCCGAGATCTGACTCCAATTAGATCGTATGATTGGTTGCTATTGAAATATATACATCTCTTCAATCCTCGTGTAAAATTATCGACTTAACTTGCGTTGGTGAATAACGGAATTAAATAAGTCAAATACGAGGATGAATTTCGAACACGTATATTTTGTACACTCGTTTATTGGAAAGCGAAGCAAAACAAAATGACGAGCGATGGAGAAGGCGGATAAGCCAACTCGATTTAACCAAGCGTCAATCAATATTTATAATCACACAAAAATAAGTTACGGATATGTGATGAGTAGGATAAGATGTACACACATGCGCTCATATAAAAATAGTCAAGGTTGATAATTAACAAGGTCAAAACGTGACTCAAGAATAATGGATAAAGTGGCCTGTCCAAAATCTAGAATAAGTTATGTGGGCTTGACACAGTAACCGACACTACAAAACATTAACAAAAAACAGTCTTTCAATGAGCAACTAGGACTCATTCATTTCAAAGGGATGTAGAGGCAGAAATCAATGCGCAGACAGTAAGACCATCCGCATTCTTAACAAGTGTTTTCTGTAAAAGATGGCAGATCATGCAAAAGGGTAGAAAAACAGCTCCGTGTATCACACATTGAGTTAGCAGAGACGTTAGGCTCTTTCTTACCAATGCCCTGGTAAGGCCGAGAGTGGGGAGAGTCCACTCTCCCTCTCCGAATGCTCTCACATGACCACGCGTATATAACCCTGATTCCAAACCAATGGTGCACATGGGCTCCAGGATCCTGAAGGAACAAATGGCGTATGAACCAATTTTCGGTCACCGGCTACCATGGGACTGCATCTCCTCACGATGCTCCAATGCCTTGTGGATCAGACCTTCAGGTTAAAAACTGCGGGTGTGGCCCCCTAAGTAAACCACCTGATTCGGTTTGATTTAGGATTTCATCAGGTCCTAAACATTGAAACGAGTTAAGTGACTGGAGACACTTTCAGACATCAGTTTCAGTAAAAATTGAAACACAACTTCAAACTTTTGGATATAAGAAGCATGATACCAGATGATTGACGTGCAAAAGACTTATTTAAATAGAATTCACCTAGGTATCATAACAAAACTTTCCAGTGAGTAGGTACTTTATTTTTACACGTAGCGTATATGATAAAACCAGTCGATCAACAGAAATTTAGTTATCCCAGTATAGTTTATATCAAATAAACCATCAGTCCATTAAAATATGATTGAAACAGGGATATGGATAATGCACAACAGTGCATTAGTAATTACTGGATGGTATTTCGACAAGTTTATTATTTGCACTTCAGACAAAATAGCTGATCATTGTGATATGAATAAGGATAATAAATTATATAGATCTTGTCTAGTAAACAGATAAATGAAATAGTATGAAACTGAACACTATCCTAGAGCCCCTAGTTTTAACTTTTATGCTAACGTCACTTCAAAGTAAGTGGTCGGGTTGCAAAACCGAAACTAAGATTAGGTTAATATGCGTATTCGAACTAGAGAACCTAATAATAATAACAATATAGTACGTACAAATGTGTGAATGGATTTGATGTTGAAACATACATTCTTCCTCTTTAATGTCTCATTAACTCGGCGCCCAAATATTGTGAAACTATTCGTTCAAATTTAGACGAAAGTTCTTATTAATGCAACTAGTAGGTTTTGGAAACGAATCACAAAAAGAAATTTTTGAATTACATGGATAAGTCTATATGAAACACTATGTATAAATAAATTCACATGGTACATTAATTTTCGACAACTTCAAGAGGATATAAAACGTAAACAATCTAAATTCGGTCAAAAATTTAGGTTTGTTTCTGATAAAGTATGAAATGGCTTGTTAGTGAAAATTGGTAAATTATTTTATAACACTCCAAATCTGTAGCAAAAACTGAAGGACCAGTACATGATTTAGTATTCTAATTTCAATAGGTCGTTTATTTAGTAATGTTAAATATTGCGGATTGTTTTCGGAAATATGATTAAAGAATTTATTTACAATAAATGCTCCCCTCAAATCGTTCTGTTTACATTGATATGATTTAGAATTGTTATACAATAAATTTGTACCAACTAAATTGGAGTATTATGAAACTCCCATATAATTCATGTAATCATCAACAGTTTTATAGTTGCGGAATGCATTGATTATTTAATAATACTTTCGCTCACTGTGCTGGATTTTTGTGCCATCCCAGGATAAATAGGACCGTATTAGTGTATGTCAAGTTAAAATATCGTTACGAAATTTACAGTATTTCATTGGATAAAATTAAACAGAACAGTCTGTAAAAGTAATTAAATGGAATTTATAAAATGTTATAATTAAGAACAAGCACACTATCTGTTAACCTTGACATAATTTTAACGATTTAGTAATTAGTTTTTAATAAGAGTCATTATTAATTGCAACAACAGTATAGGACTTACACCACTAATGGTGACTTAATAAGGTGTCTGAACTTATTTAAACAATGTGATGAAAACAGTCGTTGTCATTGCAGTTATCTAGAAACCAAGGTTAGTATGAGACGTAATGTAGTATACCGCTACACATATGTTTATTATTTAGTAAATATAGCCGACATTTATGTAAGTAATTTGATATCGCTCTAAGAAATTTAGCAGTTGTTACTAGTTTATAAACCGATTGCGTTTACGGTTGGCTCCTATTTTCTTTGATATAGCTAAAAATATGACGGCCTTGGGAAATTAAAACAGAAATCATACACAAATATTTATTTATTCTTGACATAAAACGTTTTTATCAATCTAATGTATAAAATCCATTTCCACAGCACTATGTGATGGCATGCAATAGATGAATAAGTATTCATATCATTCACCAAATGAACTGACAGCAAGATATCTTGAATGGCTTAGTTGGTCTGTCTAAACAGATATATAAATGGTTTTACCTAACTGACACGATTTCATAGGAATCAAATGCACACGAAACAGCGAAAGTCTGTCATTTAGTTGGAAAACTCACCAAGTTCAGGTTCACTCAGTTGACTTCCGGACATATTTTTGTGTGAGAGGTAGTGATATTATCAATTCGCCAATGGCGAGCTAAACAGAGAGGGGCATGAACCTGAGGTCTAATCATTGAAAACCATGTGCTTCAACTACAAAGTCACATTCCCATTTTCAATAATATAACCCGAAACAGGCTTCGTAGAAGGAAGCCAAGGAGGTATATCACCTAAGTGATAATCAGCAAGGTTTACGGTTGACTCATGTGTATGGTAACATTTTATATGTATATGAATGCTAGTTATTTATTCTAGTAAATGTTCTAACTCAATAAATTGTCATTCACTAACATGTACTGTTTCATTCGACATCATTATAGATTTAACAGTTGAGCGATTGCTAATAGTCTCACAAGCGTCTATATTCATCGTTATTAACTGAAATATTCTTAACAATTCACAATTTTACGCCAGTTCTAATTTTGGTAATTCCTTTAGTTACGAAACCACACAATATGGGTTTAAAAGGGTAATTATTAAATGATTATGGTGATAAAAATCAGACACGATTTCTGATAGGTGTACATAATTACTATCTGTTGAATTAATGTTTTACTCAAGTTAACACCTAGTTTTATAGGATTTTGGCCTACTTGTTAGCGAGCTCAATTGAAGAAAATTGTCAGTGGTAACACTAAGATAAAAATCGGTTAACATATTACGAGCTTAGAGGCTACCTTTTTAAGCTTAATACCAAGGCTAATAACAGACGATTATGAAAATTGAAAACAAAAGCTTTGATTGAGATCTCCACAACCCTATACTGATAACAAAAATTTTCTTGATTTGCAAACTGTTTGTTTCCTGGTTATCCAACATGAATTTAAGTGTTCATCTCAAATGGATAAGTATATGGTGAACGCTGTAATAATCTATCAATATTCATAATTTAAAATCAAAAAACATGTCACGTACTTCTGTAACAAAATGGCGAACAATAGAAACATCAACACGATTGCGTAAAAACAGTCTATGCATTGTGTTTATTACAGGAAGTACATGGCCACATGATAGTAAATGAACAAGTAATCCGACCAACATTCGTTTGTATTCTAACTGTAAAATATAAACGTTCAGGTAGTTAAATTATTTTTAAAAAGTGAATATTTTGTACTTAATAAAATAGGTCTTACTGACAGAGAGAAGCGAAATAGGAAAAAAATTAATGAAATAAAATATGCTCGTGGTAAATAAAAACGTGTACAAAGTAAGTATTTAAATCCTTCCGGAAAGTAAAAGGTAAACGGCAAAACGTCGTGTAAAACGCTGGTAGAGGTGATTGCTGTACAGTGAGATATCAACTTTGTGAATAGTTTATATGAGAAAGGAGAAAGATATACAACTCAATTGTATGTAAATATTGAGTTATTCAATGCTAGTTCAACTGATCCAAGCATTTAGAACGACATCTTTCATATTTATTTAGAATGCTATTGTAATCGGTTATTGGTTTGTAAATAAATTTTCATCTAACAGTCTTGGATTTTTTATTGGATTGAGTCTGACTAATCTTGTTTCGTTGAACAAGTAGCAGGAAGGAGTTTATGTTACAGCAATATCATTAGGATTTTTTGGTAAGACGTAACAGTTTACATCATGGAGTGACTTTAGATAGAAAACCACTAAAAACCAACGAGCACCGAACGATATTTTCGTTCTAGTATGAGATTTCTCAGTAGTGAATACCTACGACCCGACCGGGGAACAAACTTAGGACCATTATATCCAACGGTAAGTTTATTACCTTCAGATTACTAAAGTTGAAGTTCGATGGTTAACACATTCAGCTTCAGATGGTTCGCGATATTATATGACCGCCATCCATTACGATCGGTAGTACCTGTCTAACACCAGAAATGATTGAACTTCATCAATCACAGCTTCTCACTAAAGTTTTGAAAATTCACCTGTAATTTATTCATCAGTATATTTTCTGAGTTTTAGTGTCTGTTTAATCAAGTTCAATCCATGGTGTGAAGTTATCCTCAAAGTGAACGATTTCCACAAACCATGGGGCTAAGAACGATAAACGTTGTTTAAATCGAAGAAAATAAAAATATAAGATACAGTAATAAAGATAACTTGAAAGGAAACTCATGAAGGAGGAGCGTTTAACAGAAGATACCTCGACCATACCTGACTCAAGTCTTCCATTCCTTCAACTGAAGAAGCCAGTAATTCTGTGATAAATGCTAAGAGAGCTGGACGTAAATATTCATTGACCTCAGCCAATTCATTCACTACTATACAGTAAGGTTTCATGGTGTCCATATTTAATTCAAAATCGACACGTTTCGTATGAAAAACGACCCGAACGAAACGAAATACACCAAGTGAAACAGGTCGACATGATAAACATCTCAAAAGCGATGGAAGGTCTCGGAAAGCACGTAAACTAATTCCACTGCCAGACATATTGTTCCACTGAAATAAAAAATGAAAGTTTATTGTATCATATATGTAAACTGAATTGCAAAACGGTAATTACATTGAGTAGGAACTGGGATGAATGTCAAAGTGAATTATTCTGGTCTTTTTCTGTCACTTTACGGTGAAGCCTACTTGGTCTTTCGTATGGACAGAACCATAAATCATAACAACTTGAAAAAGATTTTCCATAGCCAATAAAGTTATAAAAATATTAACTTTGACACATGATTACAAGAACACAATTGTTTTGCATAGGGTGGACAATGAATTCCCAGTCGATTAGTAAATAAAGCCTTAAGAAACCAATTGCTTTACTGCAAAGACGGTCAGAACCGTACAACTGATTCGATTCAACAGTTTTATCGGTAATTCAGGCCTTTCTAAATTTAAGCATGCGTTAGATTACCTCACTTATAGCGACACTAAAATGAAAGGTACTATATATGCTCATTGGAATTTGAAATAAACCATGAGTTATGCCGCTCTTAGGATGTATAAATTTAGCAGTAATATTCGCCATCCGTAACCAATTAAATGTCTGTGTAACAGGTTAATGGTCATAGCTAGTGGAACATAGCAATAACTTTTAATCACTCATTGTGTTATTGCAGTGAGACTGCTGAATAGTTTTCAGATAAGAGAAATTTTAGTTGACTGACTGAATATATACAGGAGAATGAAAACTGTCACTGACATAGTTGATGCAATTACTTTTACTCTTTTTTTGATCATTGATTTTTTCCGTGATGATTTTAAGCACTGAAAAATTTGTTAGGTTGTTTTAGTCTATTTGTGTTCCATTTATTTGCAGCGCTATTTTATGCAAAGAAGCTGTTGATGATACTCATGTACAAAGTGATTCTCAAGTATATGTACATGTAAACGACACTACTTTAATACTAAAAGTGAAGTGAACCAGTTTCAAATAAGCGACACAGTCGCGATAAACAACACGCATAAGATAATAAACTAAACCAACGTAATCACCAGAAAATAGGGAGCATAAAATATGAGAAAAATTGCTGAATATTGTCGACAGGTTACTGGTACGTACTTGTCTACAAATTCGACTTGCTTCTAAAACTTCACGTTTTGCTTCATCAACTTCAGTACGTATACATGAGATACGTCTTTCAGTAGTAGGTTCAATCTCTTCAACGACCACTGCAGCATAGCTGTACAGGTATGCATATTGCTCTAATTGTTCAGTTAACAATCTATCAGAACTTGCAAATAATGCATCTGCTAGAAGTGCTAGTACATAAAAATAAGATGATTATCGTGAAATTTATTACCACTGGTTAACACATAAATAAAATTTTTTGAAATGCTACAAATCGTCTTTTGCATATGTACACATAGGCTCATTAATTTAAGAAATAACGATCTTGATACCTATCTTCGATTACGTTCACTGGTAAGAAAACTGCTCATCCAACTAAGGATATGAAATATCATGCAGCAAGTTATTTCTGACGAACAACTTACGGAAAGATATGCTACAAAATATCCGTCACAAGTGTCAGTTCAAACCCCGCTAATCAATTAAACAGAGAGAAAACTAGTATACAAAGACACTCTCAATCGAATTCTTGCATAAATTTACCATCAACTAACTGACAACAACTCAAATAACTTGGTATTTCTTTATTGTACTGAAAATATATTCTTGCTACAAATGTGATTTTGTATGCATAGATCTTAGCAAGTTCAATCAACATCTACATAGTTTAAATCGTGAAGTATTACAGTGTTGTGGATAAATAAGACTATTTTATTTTGCTGTAACACATGAAACACTTACTAATTGTACCTTATATGACAACGAAATGTTTAGTATTGGTAATTTTTTTGTACAAGTGTAGTATGCTTAAACAAATGAAGTCATACTTGACAAAAGAACACACATTAAACTACCCTACCAACTGGTAGTGTTAAGGGTCATAAGGAAATGTATTTTAAAAAAGGCTTTTGCTTGTATTATTTCTATAATTCAGTTAACAGTTAGCTCCCAGCAGTAATATCAACAAAATAAAAAGTGCTAGTTACAGAAAAGCAAATCGGGGTAAATGTGAACAAGAATGGGCATATCTTCCGTTTATCCTAAACAAATAATGATAACAGGGACATTTATGTTCAGTAGATATTAAAAAACTCTTTTACAATATTACACATAGTATCAGGCTACTTATCTAAACAGAATTATTTAATAAAACACATCATTTGACTTCTTAAGGATTGATTTTGTAGTACTAGAAAACTCACTGCTTTGTAGTCCGCAACAAATATACTGTTTTTATACAAACGCTGACAAAATGTAGACCTAAAAAACCTCAGTAACCCATATGAAAGTATCCAGAGAGTATTTCTCTTACTACCAAAGCAAAATGTTGTTTCAGAACTGGCTTAAGTCATGCCTAGAGAAGTAGTTGAGCATGTCGATTGTGTTGGGAGTTTCATCAGTTTGTCTGGAAGAACTTAGGGATGGATACAGAAACCTAGTGTCCCAGTGTGATGTCTATCTGAGTACAAGTACTCTCTGTATTACTTCATAGTTGGAATATAAGACCTTTGAAGGCAGACGATATAAATCAAATGCAAGTAGTTGGTCGTAAATGTCTTCGAAGCACCGTTAGGTTTAAAATGTTACAACAGGTTGTAAATCATCCGACAAAATAGTGGATATTCTTTGATTTATCTGTCAAAATACCCACTCGTGACCATTGTACAACCCTATGAGCTAAACCGGTTAGAAAAACTCTAAAGATGACCAAGCCAACACATAACACCATCCCACTAAGTTACTGATGGTCTAGTTGCCTAGATTGAGGGTATGAACATTGTGGCTAAGGTCTCTAAAGTTGAACTATCTATCTATGATAAACAGTCTAAATTATGGTACACGAAGTATGGTTTAAGTGTTCACCCCTTAAACACAAGATCATCTTATCTGACTTTTATGAGAAATAAATGGTTAAATCGCTTCTATCGACAGTTAATGTTACCCATAAAGTTTGGTATTTGATAGGCTCTAACTTAGTTTCACAAGACACACAAGGTGGTTTGGTATTGGCAAAGTTATAGGATTGTATGTAAATCCCAAACTTGACTTTTAAAAAATAAGCTCCAATCGAAGCTTCAAGTGGCAAATTAAAACATACTTACCAATGAAAATGGGTTGTCGTAACAAAGCTACTGGTGGGGAGGCATCTCCTTTATATGCTTCCTCAAGCTGAAAAAATAATGAGGGGTGTTTATTAAATAGTTTTGTAAGATATGAGTGGTCGACTTGTTTTGTATGTGTTCCCAGTGATGTTTTTTCTATTTATTTTATTTGAACACATGAATATTGGTACAAGAGGGAACCAGATATGTATGCGCCACACATTTTCATTACCATTATATTTGTGTGTGGGCTACGATACTGCCCGGGTGCCCAGACCGAAGTGGTTGGTTTTCTTAGGGGGCCACGCCCCGAGCCTTTGGCCAAAAGGTCTGACCCACAAGGCAGTGGAACATCGTGAGGAGATGCAGTCCCATGGTAGCCGGTGACCAAAAATTGGTTCATACGCCATTTGTCCCTTCAGGATACTGGAGCTCATGTGCACCATTGGTTTTGGATCCGGTTGAAGCGCCGGACATTCGCTTTTCACCCTCTTATTTTCGCAAACAACACCCCCGCCACGAGAAGGCAGTGAGTAGGACTTCCCTGGCAGAGGCTATATATGCGTGGCCATGTGAGAGCATTTCGAGAGGGAGAGCGGGCCCACCCCACTCTCGGCCATACCAGGGCATTTGAGGGCTTTGATAGAACGAAAGCCATATAACTAAATACCTCTTAAACTTGCCACTCCTTATTACTTTATGGAAGTAGAGCATGGTCTCTGAAAGTAGAGGACATGCATACGCGGCAGGCTTTTGATTTGTTTCTGAAGCATTGTTTGTGTTTCGTGAAACAAATGAGTCAAGAATGTTGAGTTTAGGCATAAGCTACTACGCAAAAATGCCAAATCAGTTGATTAGGATGCAAATTTTTGATGATTGAGGTAGCAAGGAGGGTATCCCACCAAAAGGATGACTTAAGAATGGTGTATATTAATAAGGGCGGTTATCAAAAGAGAGCATATTAATAGAGGTGAGCTCCGACAGGGGGAATAACATTTTACAGGATGTGAAATATGTTCGATTTACCTTCGATCCCTTTGCCTTTATAACCAATCAAAAATAGTTTTCTAAACGTTTAATAAAGGGTCTACTTTTAACAAATACTTTAGTTTTTCGAATTTAGTAACAACTTGTTATTCTTATTATTCCAGTGATGTTATCTCGCACATCTATTTTGAACAGCTAGGGGGTCGATAGTCTTTTAAGAGATGTTTCCAAAATGTTTGAGAAATGTTTGGTGATTTTCGCGTTGAGATTGAGTTTTAAATGCTTAAAACGAATCTATTTTAGAATCAAGAAATTAATTTAACACATTCTTCATTACTTGTATTCTCAAAAACATCTATTATGAAAAATATTAACCGAAAAATAGAGGAAAGCAACGCACTATTAAGTAAATAATCTTGAGCATAACACTCAGGAATTCGCAATGGATATTGAAACATTAGGCCAATAGGAAATCCGCTAAATGATGAAAACATGTGACTGGGCTGGAAATAACTTTCATTCCTAGAGAATGAGACATACCATTGGTCACTTAATTTCCTAAGATATATATATATCGATTACTTCTTGATCTTTGCAACACAGTAACCCGTTGGGCTAGTGTATAAGAAGACTGAGTATCGGTGTCAACTCACGGATAACGCTAGTTACAACATATATAGTTGTTCATTCGTAGGCATCAGTTTACAAAGAATACAAATCCACCTAACGCATATGAAGCTTTCTCTGTTCATAATCAACCGTCATAAGTAAACAACGTAATCAGTGTCTGTCCCTTCAGTTCCGTTATATCTGTTCTACAAGAAAACTCTGACGCATTATGTAATATATTCTTTGCGATAATAAGCGTTTAATGGTACAAACGGACGAATCCCATTAAAATTTAGAAAGAAGTTTACACTTTCAAAGGAGTAGAGCTACCGAACTTGATGGAAATTATTTAGGAGTTCAAAATCCGGCTTTCAGTACCCGTTATTTATTACAAAAATACAAATTTCTAGATTAATATTGGACTTTATGATTTACTCCTGTAAACTATCACTTATCTGGGTGAATTGTAAAAACCTTTGAAAGGATATCTACAGGCGATAATATAGAATTTATAAAAGATGACTAACCAGCAAAACTGCATCCGGAATTAAATCCTGTTCTTTAAGGATGATACGCATCGCATCCATGCTATCAGGATAATCTCGGGCACCACAGAGATACGTTGTGTACCGACTCACGTCACGGCCCCTGGATCGAATATGTAATCATTAAAAGGTAAACGTAGTCCGAAAACCAAGCGAAACACAAAAGGAAATGAGGTATATCACCTATACGGAGAATATTCAAATGACTAGTTGTATAAGTGTGGAACTCACAGGTCCATGATATACAAAACCCAGTTAATTTATCTTATTAAATTTTCTATGCGAAATAAAGCTACATATATTTACTTCGAGCTTAAAACCATTGAGTTAATCAAGCATCAAAAATGCACTGTACAAAACAAGATGACAGTTTTGTGAATAAATTAGAACGGTAAATTACATAATAATAACAAGAACATTTCAAAATGCGATTCAAGCACAACCAAAATGATATCCACTTGCTTTCGTCGTGAGCCGATTTTTAAACCACCAAGCTATCCAATCTCTACGAACCTATCTAGACAACCTTGATAGTCCCATCAAAGATATTTTTCATTCTAAAGCATTATGTTATAAACTGACTACCACTAAACATTTTTAAAGATTCTCAAAATTAGCAAACGGTTCCCAGTATAGAATTTTCTGCAAGTTCTTCACTAAAAAAGGATCCAACAAATCAAAGCCACTTTTTTAGGATGAGATTACCGATTGGTTGACGATGCATGTTATATTCCAACACATGTTGTAAGATATTAGTATTAACTAAACAAAGAAGCCATCAAAATAGAGAAATTTCTTGTGAAAGCTTAAATTAAACAGTGAGCCAGTGAGTATTTTAAATTCAGAGACTAGATTTTAAAAGCATACAGTAAAGGTTTTTTTTACAGCAGTTGTACCTCTGTTCATTTCTGACCATACTAACTTAGCGTCAATGTCAAAGGCTGCCCAGATCAACAAACACTACAAAATAACCCAATAGATGATAAATCAGGAACAATGGCTTAGTACAGATATGAGTATAAACTAAGAAAAATATTGAATACGTACATCTAATACAACACTGCCTGTGGCTCTTTTAACCCGACCGTTGTTGCTACCTTGACGTGGTGGTCGGGCTTGCCTATCGTGATGACCCAACCGAGCTATACTGGTTGGGACAACTGTTCCTCAAGGTCCTACCATGTCAGAAAGGTCGGTTGAAGAGCGGTAAGACTAAAAGCAACAAACCCAAGGTCCGAAGGCGAAGTCGTACTGCTGACTGTACAGAGATGTGACAGCAGTAAGGTGTTTCCTTCAGACAACCAGCATAACAGCGATGCTGCCTTCCCACAAGGAGGGGTGGGGTTAGAAAAGGTCAACCCTAAAAATGCACACCTCGCCTTATCCCACGGATTTCCGTCTCCGGCGGTAAGGCCCTTTGAAGAACGGAGCTAACACGTCAAAAAACCTCCCACGAAAAGGCCATGCGCGACCGGCCTCAAGCAATTGTCCCTTGGTCACTGAGACCACCTCTAATCCAATTTCCTTTTCAGGTACCTCCAGAAGAACCCTTCCTCGGTGTGGGCAACCGGGAAGTGATAACCGCCCTCATACCTCTAACAGCACTCAAGACCACTGTATTCATAATCAACCTCAGTCTTCACTTCCTATTACTCCTCCTACATCAACTTTCACCTCTAACCTTCCTTTATCGGCTTCCTCCTCAAATGTCACCATAGCCAACGATTCTAGTGCTCAAAACACCGTCCCAGGTCTACTGAAACGTCGCTCCAAACTACACATTGGAGCCTTCAACGTACGCACCCTATGTCAAATCGGTCAGCAGGCTTCCTTGGACAAAACCCTAGAGTCTCTTTCCATTGATGTATGCTGTGTCTCCGAAACACGCATACAGGATTCCAGTGTGGTCATTCACTTGACCCCACCTCGGCAAAACGGAGAGCCAACGACATACACCCTCCGTGTATCTGGTGACCCGATGGCCAGTTCTCGTGGACTGGCAGGTGTAGGCATAGCACTAAGCATGAGGGCGGAACAAGCACTGCTAGAGTGGATCCCCGTCAACAGTCGTCTATGTGCTGTTCGGCTAAATGGCTCCGTAAGAACTCGGAAGGATAAGGACACACGTCGTTGCCTTTTTGTCGTTTCTGCCTACGCTCCCACTGACTGCAGCTCAGATGATGTGAAAGATTAATTTTACAGAAAGCTTTCTGAACTTCTTCAGAAAGCTAAACGCTCAGACATAATACTCGTAGGGGGTGACCTTAATGCTCAGATAGGTAGCTTAAACCAAACAGAAAGGCATTTAGGTGGATATTTTAGCATTCCGGCACAGCGAACAGATAATGGTGACCGTCTGTTGCAACTGTGTTCAGACAATCGCTTATTTTTAGCAAACACAAATTTTAAGCATAAGGAGAGACATCGTCTAACATGGCGACCCCCTACACCAAACCAACGATTGACTCAAATAGACTATATTACCATCAGTCATCGTTAGAGAGGGTCGGTAGAAGATTGTCGCTCATTCTGGAGTACCTGCTTGGACTCCGACCATGCCCTAATACGGGCACGCATCTGCTTGCGCCTCACTGGACGCAAAAAAGCCACATTAAAAAGAACCATTAGAACTGAGTTGAGTAACGAGAAAACCAAAAGTAGGTTCCATGAACAACTGAGGTCACGATTAGGTAGTTCTGAAGACGAGGCTGACCCAGATGTTGCTTGGAATGACATACAAGCAGCTGTGGAAACAGCAATCAAATCTATTAGTGACTTAAACCACAGAGTTACAAAGAACCAGTGGATTTCTTCAAAGTCTATCACACTGATGGATTCTTGCAAACTCGTCCCATCAGGTTCCGAACATGATGAAGAGCGACAACAAATCAGATCTAGGTTAAGAAAAAGTCTAAGAAACGACCGTGAGCAGTGGTGGGCAACGAAAGCAAGAGAGATGGAAAAGGCGGCTATAGGGAACACAAGATAGCTTTACAGACTAATAAGAGAAACTGGAACTAATAAGTCAAGTGTAAGTGAGATTATTTCAAAAAAAGACGATACTCTCATCTACTCCCAGTCCAGACGTTTAGAACGATGGGCGGAACATTTTAGGGAACAGTTCAGCTGGCCTTCAGCGACTCTACAACTACCCTCCAGTCCCAAACAATGTGAATGGAACAATGAAGTAGGTTCCCCAACTCTGGCAGAAGTTCAAAAGGCTATAGTTAGTCTGAAACGAGGAAGGACAGCTGGTCCAGATGGACTGGCTCCAGAGGTCTTTAAGGATGGTGGTCCAATTTTAGCGATTAGGTTGACTAATATTTTAGCTAAGATCTGGGAGTTAGACGTTATCCCATCTAACTGGTCACAATCACTTATCGTCCCAATATATAAGAAAGGGTCAAAATAATCCTGTGACAACCATAGAGGGATTAGCTTAACTAATATATCTAAAATACTAGCCTCGATAATTATCAGACGCCTAACTAAGACTCGTGAACTGCAAACACGAGAGAACCAAGCTGGTTTCAGACCTGATCGTGGCTGCATCGACCACATATTCACCATTCGTCAGATTCTAGAACACAGGCATACTTATCGGCGTCCGACAATGGTGGTCTTTCTCGACTTAAAAGCAGCATTTGACTCTGTAGACCGCGAGATTCTGTGGCAGTGTCTGTCATTGAAAGGCGTACCTCAGAAGTACATAAACCTTGTAAAGGCTCTTTACTCGAACACTACTAGTCGAGTCAGAGCTTATGGCGAACTGTCATCTACTTTTGCAACCTCAAGTGGTGTCCGTCAAGGCTGTCCACTATCTCCATTTTTGTTCAAATTCATCATAGACCTACTGTTGGAAATAACGTTCTCGTCTTCTAAACTTTCAAAAATTGATCTCCTTCCAGAAGGTCCACTTATCGACTTAGAATGCGCAGATGACATAGTCCTGTTTGGTGAAGACGCTGACAAAATGCAGAGTCTTCTGGTAGCACTGAGCAACTCTATACCATCAAGAGTTGAAGACACTCGTAAGCTACAAGTATTTGATCACAAATGCCTTAGAAATATTGCTTGCATCTGCTGGGATCACCGGGTAAGTAATAGTGAGGTTGGACGCAGGGTATTAGGAAATGATGGTAAATCAGTTGATGAGGTTATGAATCTTCATCGACTGAGATGGTTGGGTCACATGTTGCGTATGCCTGAACACCGATTACCACGACGTGCAATGCTATCCGGTATTGGAAATGGTTGGAAGAAAGTTAGGGGCGGCCAAACCAAAACGTGGCATCAGTGCTTGAAGTCACTAACTTCTGGTCTGAGCCATGTTGGTAGATGCAGACTACTTGGTTGGGGTCCGCGTGACTATCGTAACCAATGGTTGGAGACTCTTGGTGACATGGCTCAGAATCGATCACAATGGCGTCGGTGTATACACTTCCTGTCTTCCCTTAAACTAAGAGACTGAAATCGCTTTATATCTTTCTTTCTACGAACCAATTCTTTCTTCCTGTACTATATCTCCATATGCAATCTTTCTCTTATATATTACCACCTTTGACCTAACCACTGCTATGAATCCAGTGTTCATCTTGCTGTGCTGATGCGGTATGGCAACCTGGACCGATGCACATATGTGCCTGGTCCTACGTTGTAGCTGACTGACTGACTGTAGCTCTTTTAAGGTTACTGCCGGTCCCAAGCCCACACAAAGGAGGAGGGTTGGGAATGCGGTCAGCAACCCCAACCCGTAGGAAACCACCTTACTAACAAAGCTAACCAGAATAAACAATCTAAACAATCTAAATTCTGCCCTCCGAGTTGAACGATCTTCATTCAGTAGAACTCTGACGCCTCATGGTGAAAGCTGAGATTCTTTGGAGGTCATGAGGAGCATGCTCCTTCTAACAACCACAGCAACAATTAATACAGATACATGGAATGTTCAGACAATATGGGAGACCGGAAGGACCAGTTAAATGGATACGGAAATGAGAAGATACAACTTCAATGTTCTCAGAATCACTGAAGTCCATTGAACTCAATCTGGAAAGAAGAGGATAAATTCAGGAGAAATGTTGTTGTACTCTGCTCACGAAA